CAAACCAAACTATTAACAAATTTTCTTAGTAATTTATTATTTAATTTAATTACTTGACGTCATTATTAATTTTTTTCCAGTCTTCAAGATTAATAAATGGATTATTAACTCCAGGGCTTTCACCACTTATTGAAAATTTTTGTGTTTTCTCTCTGAAAATCACAAAAGGCCCATCGATTTACAGAGTTAAGCATTTTAATACCTGCTTTACAATTTCAAGATTCGTTGAATTACCTTTTTCTCGGTTTTAAGCAACACATACAGTAAAAAGTTATATTTTTGTAAACAGAACTGTGAGGGAGAAAAAGGGGACAAGATCATATGGAGGCAAAAGAGATGAGGAGCGATAAAATACAAAAAAAACTTTGAAAATTTGGAAAATATGCGAGTAACGTTTGTTATTGTAGTAAAGTTATACAAAGAGTCGTAAGGGGGGCTAGGATGAAGGGGTGGCCATTTTCATAATCGTTTTTACGACTATAGATGTTTACAAAAAGTGAGTTATATGGCAAATCATATGAAAGGGGAAATAATTATGTGGACAAATTAGGAGTTACGCTAGATGAAAAATTTAAGATATCTAGTCATTAAAATAGACACAAAAGTTTACAGTAGATGTGAAATTACACAAATTTGTAACATATGTGGGAAAGAACATTTATGGTCAGAAAATTTGAAAAGACATACAAATTTATAATTCATAAATTTACCATGTACAATTTGACTTAAATTAATCATTATTTTGTTACACAAATAATTTATTGTTCTTTATTATGACACGATATTATTCTAAAAAAATTAACTACCGTACAAGTTTAAGACTTCCCAAAAAATATACCAAAGTTTCTTGTACAACACTTAAACTGATAAGTGCAATTAAATCCTTGAACGTCAAACACCCAAAAAAACGCTATCGTTTCCCAAACTTTTAATCCCTGAAACTCAACTGGGCTCGTGATTTAACTGCACATGCAGTTTATCTCTAAACAATGAAACTGACGCTAAGATAACCAAATTAACTTCGCAAAAAAATCTTAACCAAAAAAATGGCTAAAGGTATAAGTAGAAATTAAGGGGATTGGATGAGGGATTCGGGCTGCGCAAAAACGAAGGCTGTGTGCGCAACGTATGCCATGCTTGTGGACTTTTAATCGAAAACAACAATGAGTTGATGATTCTGAGCATCGTTTGAAGATAATGAACTGTTATAAATCAAAGTTTTTTCATCGATACATCATAATGGATAAAACATGAACTTAGTACTACACTACAGAAGGCAATTAACAGACAACCAAGTATACTTAACGAGGTGAACCACATCCAAAGCGTGCAAAAACCCAGCAACTGACTGGCTCGGTTATGGCATTGGTTTTCTGGGAAGCGCAGGGTATTATATTCATTGAATACCTTGAAAAGGGCCAGATAATAAGCAGTGACTACAAAATTAAGTTATTGGATTAGTGTAAGAACTAAATTGTTAGGAAATGGTTACATTAAAAAAAAAAAAATTTCTGTTTTATCAAAACAATGCACCTCGTCACAAATCAATTAAAACAGGGACTAAGTGGCTTTACATTACTTCCCCATCCACCTCATTCATGAGATCTAGCCCACAAAGACTTTATGCTGTAAGTAGAATCTTTTTTAAATAAGTCTTGCCTTGTTATATAACTTATGAAAGAGCAAAAAAGTATAATGAATTAAATCCCACAACAATAATACAATTACGGTATTTTTAAAAAGTACTCAAATAAGATGATGTGCTAATTGAGTTAGGGAAAATTGTGGGGGATTTTAATGATAAATGGAGTGTTTATTCTCAATAAAGGTTATAAATTTACGCAGAAAACAAGATATGGACTCAACTTTCTCTTTTTTAGGTAAACTTTATTGCCAGGGGATCCCTGCTTGCAATAAATAAGCAGTCTTTCCCTTGTATATCGATGGACAATCCGACAATTTTTTTCTTAAGTAAGCCCATTTTCTACCTTTCTACCGGGGTAAACAAGCTATTTTTGGGTCCAATAAGGCTACAATATATTGATTAGAATGTTATCTCATTGTTTATCATATATGGTAATAAAATCCATTAAACTATATCTGCTTATGCTCTATATCTTTTTTACGTTCTATGCTTTATTCGCAGTGCGAGTCATGGGGGGCTCAAAAAATTTTATGGGGTAAGTAGCCAGGAGAGTGGTAGATTTGGCAGGCTATGAATATCATTTAATTCGGTTAGAATAGCACTGATAGCAATTAAATTTATTCTTACTTATACATAAATATGTATCTTTTTACCTTTGTTACGTAGGATTAAGAAGCTGGAAAGGAGGTGCGTCACGAAAAGAACTTGACTCGTTGGTCAATTATTTATTAGCTTCTTAAGGGCAGAGGCGTGTGAGTGTTTCGCCCGAAGTTTTCTACTTATCGTTCGGTCTCTTGCCTAAAAGACGCTCGAGTGCCCCTATAATCGACTCTTGCAGAGCCTTATATAAGCTCATTCCCGTTCCCTTAAATAGTCAAGCGACTTCCGGCGCTCATTCTCGTTCTCTTATTATCATGATTGTTATTATTGTTCTCATCATGATTATCATGATTATTATTATTACAATTACTGTAGATTATGATCAACGACAATTTTTTTTTTTTTTTTTTTTCTATACATAAATAAACTTAATATATCTTTCTTGTTATAACATAAAAAAAAAAAAAAAGAATTTTTTCATAGTTTCATCCTTCAGACTGCGCCCCCCGATGCAGTCGAGTGACTCCCGGCACTCATGCCCGAGGCTCACAAATTCAAATTTTGAATCACGGTCTCCAGCAATTCTTGTATCCGTCTAAGGGATTGCAGTCGCCTTTCTGCTCTGAGTTTTACTGTTGGTGTGGTTTGAATTACTGCCAATTCTCGTGCTCCTTCATAAACTTTTTGTTTTCCTGTGAACATTCTTTAACATAATAGTAGTAGGGCCCCCCGATGGAAGAGGCACTTATACATAAGAAAAAGAAGCCCCATGTCGAATTTATTAACCCTGTAATATATAAAGCTGTTAGCTATTAGTTGCCAACCCTGGTTTCTGTGGTAAATACTTGTCGTAACACTATTTATACTTTATCGATAGGTATTTATTTAAATGTATTACCGTATAAACCTTACCCTTTCTCTTATGTTTCCCCTTTATTTTGTTAGCGTTGAGCTGCGAGTGTGGCTCTCTCCTTACATATGAAGTATATAATAATAAACGTATATCTTTTAATTCTCCTTCCTTACTTTTTTTGTATAATTATTGTAATTTATTTTAGTGTCTTTGTCAATATGGGTTTTTTACTCTTAGTTAAAAAAAATTCTCCATCGTAAATATGTTTTATTACGTTATCTTTTATGTCGCATCAGCTCTAGGTGCGCATATAAGTCGCGTATTGAGTTTGTGAATAGTCAAATATAACATAATGCGCTCCATTTTGAATGAGGGATCATATAACATATTTAAGAACACTGTAGAGTCAAATAAATTGACGACTGGTTGCCTTACATTTCACTTGCATTTTTTTTTGGTTGAGACAAACTTGGATGTATAAATAAAAAAAATCATTTTCTGGCGGGGAAGTTTTGACCTTTATAGTACATATTTCTAATATTTTTCATCCATACATTTTTTTTAATAATGTTTTCCTCTTACTCCTCCAATCTCTTTTTTTATGTGGTCAGATTTAGGAAAGGATTCATAAGGGCATTTTTTTGTCAACTACCACTCTCGACGCCGTAGACGTACTTGCTGACTTAGTTAGCTGCTTTTTCGATTTTTTTTTTTTTTTTTTTTTTTCTTCAACTACAAAGCTTTTATTTTTCCTCTTTCATGTGTAGAAAAAGTGTACTTTTTAAGATGTTTAACTCTTTTTGCGTCACAGCGTGATTTTTTTTCTTTTTGCGCCAGTAGAATCTCCGCGTTTGGTCCTTATGGATGAAATTTTGTTCTTTTCTTTCTTGCAAAAGCAAGAGCAGCTCGCGTACACTGCTGCACAATGTCGTTATGTAAGTGACAGCTTATGTGATTGCAAGCGTCTTTTATTTTTTTTCAGTTAAGCATACGGGTTGTGGATTTGTATGCCTTCTCTCTAATGTCGACGACCCTGTTTGAATGAGGGTGGCCTAGTAACGTTGTCCT